CACCTTTCTCTCCGACTATATTTCCGATCGTGCAAATCATTTTTTCTTTCTCTTTTTGCTTATTCAATCCGACACGATAGTGCTCCCGTGAGAAGGGGAGGAGGGGAGATCTACCACCCGCGCGTTCCTGCACTGTCACCGGCGTTGATGATCTCTCGCTATCCTCGTCTGTGATTTCAGTCGGCCGGACACGATGGCATCTGGCGGTTAAAAATATTTCTTCCGTGGACGTGCCGCAGGCGCGCGCGCTTTTTGTTCGGTCTCCTCGACAGTCGGGGCTATAGTCGCGAATCTGTACGCTTCGCGAAGTAATTATGCCGGGCGGGAAGTCTAGGGCCAGAAATACTTCGCGTACCGAGGGCGCGGTGAGTGCGCCGTAACAACGAAGAGCCGTGCGACGACGCGCCGGCAGTCGCGCGTGCACATGTACACGTATACGCGTACAATGTCGGGAGACACGTAGACAATAGAAATAGAAAACCGACGCTATAAAGTCGGAGTACGTCCGTGAGTAGCGAGGCGCCGGGAGGGAGAGCAATGGTCTCAGCAAGATTTCCTCGCCCGATCGCCGGACGTTTGCACACTGACTGATTGCTGCCACGATTGACAATCGTGACTTACGAGATTATTATCTATCGTGCGTAGTTATGCTGTCAACATATCTTCGCTAAATATACATGTCGGGCCGCTTATTTTTAGCGCGTCCGTCAAACTTAAGTTTAATTTTGAGAAAATTACTAATGATATAAGTCTCGTAAAATCCAGTCCGTTTTTCTCTTGTCTTTATTAACTCTCCGGAACTCTAACACACACGATGAATCTATTGGATCCAATTATAACTTTTCTTTGTAAAAAAATGTTACACAATTTAACTTTCTTTATGTTACATCTGCAAATTTGAATTGTTTTTATTAAAACATATTTAATATTAATTTTTCTTTATACGAATTATGTCATTGTAGTTCCTTGAAATTAATTAGTGTCTTTTATATCAATTAAATGAGTCTTACAGAGTCAATAACTATGTTGCAGATTTTGACATCAGCTCCGGCGGGTTAAAAAGTTCTTTTCATAAAAGATAATTACAGTTTACAAAAACCAGAAATAGCTCTTTAATTAAAACACTTGACATTTTCTGTTATGTGTTGATGAAGAAATAGGATTCTTGGATTTAAGTTCCTTTTATCAAAACGGCTTGCAAACGTAAGTCAGTAATTCAGTACATGTATTATATATTTATCTACATATTCCTGAGAATAGATATCGAATTCTTTATAAACTCGGATACGTTGGAAAGAAGCAATTCGGCTTTCCCCGGCTATGTCCTATCGCGCGGGATCATACGGTGAGCGATTGTCAAGCTAATCGTAAAATAAATAGATCTTCCTAGAGAGCCTCAAGCAAGAGATTGGACACCATATGTGTGGTCCACCATATTTTTCAAGATCTGCTTAAGACAATGAGATACACAGATACATAATCTATCCCATTCTATCTTAATTCTGCTTAAAATAGAATGAGACAGATGCATGATCTATCTCATTTATATCTTAAGTAGGTTTTGAAAAATATGACGGACCAATGTATAGTATCCAATCTTTTACTTGAGGAGATCTCTAGATCTTCCTAACAATGAAATAGGACGCGAGTCGCGCAGAAAATGTGATAGATTGCATTTATCGATCTCGCACTCGTTGTAATCCCTTAGTACCAGTGCTGAGATTTAATTGAACATTTCAGCCGATTTTCAGCTTGGTTTCTACCCCTTATGCCGATCGGCATTTAGAGTGCGCGCGGGTTGGTGAAGTAAGGGGCAGGAACTAAACCGAAAATCAGCCGAAGTGTTCGACTAAATCCCAGCACTGCCTTATGGGGAGTCTACAATAGAAGTCGTAGCGGTCGTAGAGTCTTAAGTCGTAGAAAATTGACCAATCATAGCCGATTATTCTTCTCACATTCGACTGTGATTGGTTAATTTTCTACGACTTGAGACTCTACGACCGCTACAACTTCTATTGTAGACCCCGCGTTAGTATCACTCGTAGCGGTCGTTCGAAGCATCACGTTTACGACACATGCGCTCGTAGTAAACGGAGCACGTGGCCCTCGACGAGCCCCGATCCGCCACGACTCGCGATTCGCGCGAGTGCACACGTGTGCATGCGCATCGTGCGCGTGCATACAGCATTCCCTCGCAGGCGTATCGCGCGAGCATGTGCGCGTAAAAAATACGCTGGAGGCGCGCGCGTGCAGCGCAGACAATGTTCATCATTGTAACGAATTATAATATACGTATGCGACACATAGCAGCACTGGCCCATTATCGGCATCCCCACTGTCCGCTCGATGTTTTTCTTGTGTGCGGTTCGCATAATAGGTTGCGGCATAATGCGTATCGAGCACGAGCAGAGACGCCGATGTTATAATCCTGACCTTCTTGATAACACGCTTCTGGTGTGATGATTTGGCGCGCGACGATTAAGGGACGATGTGATCTTTTGTTATTTCAAGAAAAGGTGCTTCTTATTTTCGTAAATAATATTACTATCATCTTTGATATTATAATTATTGAAATTATTTTAGCATAGATGCTTTTTCCTCGGTTTATATGATGAAGTGTTTGGCAGGTCTTTATAATTATAAAGACGCTTTGCCAATTAAAAATATTTATATTGAATATTATAATACTGACATTATATCTGGCTCTCCACAATGATTCGATCTTTGTGAAAAGATTCGCTCGTTCGATCTAGATATCGTAGAAGGAAATTACGCAGATTCCTGATGCCCTTACGCAACGCATCTCGCATACAAATATTATCTTTATCTTCATAAATATTATCTTTGTCGTAAATTGGATCGCAGGAACGAAAATCTTTGTGCCAACTATTAGAAACAATTCCATTTAAAATCTTATGATACTTTCTCTCTTTTTCTTAATATATGATTATATACTAATTCTTATTTATCATGTATTAATGTTATTATTATTATTTTAATATATAATTAATATTATATAAAATAATATAAATTCTAATTTTACTAAAATACATATATCATTATCTTAATATAATATATACTTCCTTTCTTAATATTCGATATATAAATGTATTTTTAGACAAATATATATTTTGTCAGAATTGTTACACGTCTTATTTAGCAACGCAAACGCAGTTTATATTTAATCTGTCTCTCTTGAAGAATTGATCGATCAATCTACATATATATATATATATCTTGGGGGAGGAGGATTGCATACATTTCGAGTGATGCACTATATAAATATTATCTTTATCCCCGCGATACAGTTAGTGGTGCCTAAAGCGAAATGGCCGATGACAGTCGATGTCATTATATATTTCATAACTTTATGATACATCGCTTTCATGTTCCGAGAAGATGCGCGCGGCATTCTCTCAGCACCGTAAATCGTTCTCTATTATGTGACTAACAAATGTCTGCGTAAACGCGCAGTAATAAATCTCCCCTTGTAATTATACACATCACAGGGGACGATTTTGAACGCAAAGCGATGTGTAAAACTCGCATCCTCCAGTTGAAAAGTCGTTTACGTCTAAAAGTCATTATCTTTGACATATATATATGTGTAATGGACCTTACCTCTATACATTAATCGTGCAGCTCAAAAATGTAGGTCAAGCGCGTTAATGAGAGAAATCATTGACACACTACTGGATAAAATGCTCGATTTTTTAATACAGATTAATGCACATTTTTTTACTTGCTTGACGCGACATACGCCGTATAGATTCGAAAATTAAAACACGATTTGAAGGGAGAGGAAAACAATTATTATTATTACTATTATTATTATTATTTCAGTTTGATTGTGTTGCAAGTCCAAAAATAATAGACGCACAGTCATACATATTTGAGGTAAATGTATTTAAAATAAATATATATAGAATTACTATTTCAACATCTAATGCAAATGATGACTGTATAATAGTTGGCGCTTCTTTTTACTTAGTGGAAAAAATTATTTCGAAAAATTTCAAGACCGGGGATTTACAGTCATTAATTTGTTCCATCGAGTAGATTACTTTCGGAAACGAAAAACGTCGAAGCCTGCGTGTCGCCGGAAATGCGGTTAAGGCTCGTTCCGCTTTTCATCGGGTGTCGATCAACGAAATCGTGAACTGCGTTTGTTCCTGACCTCACAACCTCACTCGCGTTCGCCAGCAGAAGATAATCGCGGCTAACGTATAGTTCTCTTTCTCTTTCGCTTTCTCTCTTTCTTTCTTCTCGTCTTCGTTGCGTCTCCCGCGCGTTCTCGGTCAGTCGATTAATGGAATCTCGTTCGATTAATGGAGAGAGATTGTTGCGACACGACAGCGCAACAATAATTCCCGCCCGATAATTACGTCTCGCGTTCAGTTACGTAACTTAACGTTCCTCCACTTGTCCGCGTGTCGATATCGGCGACGAGACACCACCGCTGCCGTCGAGCCAACAGACGGCCGATCGATCGCGCGATTTGGATTTAGATTTGGTAATTTGTAGACGGAAATGAATGGACGAACTTGGGCTAGTCCGTGTCTAAATTAACTCCGCGCCAGATGGCAGATAGTTTAGACGTCGCGCCTGCCGGGGGCGACCGGGTGACGTAAGGAGCGACGTCGTTCCATCGCTCGCTCGTACGATCCTCCTCTAGATGATGCTGAAATTGTACCCTCCACTACTCTTTCGTGCTGCCAGCAAACTGGATAAACCGCAGTAATCAACACAACGTAAATGAGTTCTGCGACATTTTAAGTAATCTTTTCACGATACACGTAAGAAAAAGCGAATCGTATCATCAAGCATATAGAGAATATATGAAGATTTCCAACGCTGATATTCCTCCCCCGCTCTTTTTTTTCGCTCTTCCTCCACGATACACATCCCAATTGAGTACGCCGATGCAAGAAAAATAAAAAAAGAGAAAGCAAAAAGACAAAAAAAACACTCAGCAGTCTCCCGTTACGCTTGTGTTGCAGACTGAGGATGTCCTCAAAGAGGAAGTCGCCACCAACGAAGCTATCGGAAGGCGGGGGCGGTGCGGGTACAGTGGCAGGCGCCAACGAGGAGGAGGAGGACACTACCTCGCCGGTGGCCGGTTCCGGTGGCGAGGCAGCCGTCGTCGTCGGTGAGGAGGGTGCCACCACCCCCGTCGACATCGAGGAGTGCTACTCCCATCAGAGAGGCGGCGAGTGCGAGTCCTCCGGCTGTTCATCGCCGGCGACTACCAGCGAGCCGGATCTACGCGACTCGCCGTCGCCTTCATTGAATTCCTTGCGGACGGCCAAGCGACAGAGGCTGTTGTTCCTGTCGAGCCAAGAGACCCTCGCACCGTATCATCCTCATCATCACCACCATCACCATCACCACCACCATCATCACCATACGAACACGTCGTCGTCGTCGGGAGGTGCACTGGAACCGGCGAGCTCCTCGGAGTGCGGATCGCCACCCACCCTCCTTTCCGTCGATCCCTATTACCCCCATCATCCACATCACAATAACAACAACAACAGCGTCACGCAGAATAACAACAACAATAACGGCAGTGGTACCACCGTTGCAGGCAGTAAAAGGTCCATGGACGACGTTCTTAAAAGACTAACGTGCAAGATGAACAGCGAATCCTTGTCTATCCAGGACGATACTACCAATACCAGGCGGACACCCCCGCCGCTCTCTTCCACGCCAACCGGTCACAATGCACATAGGTTAGTCCAGGTGATCAGATATTGAAATAGAGGATTAGAGCAAAATAAGACTCACTACTTCCTATTTTAAATTGTTTGAAACAATAAAAAAAGGACTATCGATTTATCATTTGACTATCAAATAATGAATAAAGAAATAGATTCAATAGTTTTTTAAGTAAACACGTTCGCGAATATTAGTTAATTTACTTGTTAATAGTTTTTTATTCTATGGGGTGTCTAGCAAATTTGCTTGTCAAAAAAAAATATGTTCATTATTTAAAATTATTATGTACATGAAATGCAAAAAACAAGGAAAGAGATCGCTTCTCTCTCTCTCTCTCTCTCTCTATATATATATATATATACTTTTAATATAGATCTTTCAATTGTCATTTTGACTATCTTCCGTTTAATATCGATCCGGTTGCTATTAACGCGGTCAGGAAGTATCCCGCAAATAACAGGAAATGAGAACAGTGTGCCGTTTGAGAACTTCTTCCAATTTTGCTGATCGTTTAGACTCCGTTACGATTCGTGTAATCCATGCGACGTATCTCGATAAGCGACTCTTATGCAACTTGTGTATGTTAATTATTCGATGCCGTGTTCGATCGACATTGTAACAGTGCACTACTCTGTTGCAATATCTGCCTCATAATGCGCCACCGTGTCGCCGAGGTTATCGTATCTCTCCCACTTTACATAACTGATTAATATAATATAATGGTAAATCAGAGACGGATGTTGCTTTTTGCAACTTTATTACGAGTGCCTATAATTTTTGCTTTCGCAACTAATTGCCGACTTATACATATAATCGAAGCATATACAAATACTTATTTAAATTTAATCTCGATTTTATAACGAGGAGCTAATCGCAAAATCAGTTGCAAATTGTTATTTATCGGTCAAACAAGTTGATATGCTATAGTTACTGTATCAGTCACAATAAAATTTATATAGTCACAATAAAATTTACCATTTTTAGAGCACTTGCAGCAATTCAATAGGGGAACATCTTGGTACACATAGCAAGTACGTTTTGTTTTATACGATATTACGTTTTGTACGATATATTTTTCAATCAGATAAATATAGTTATATATACATTCATATTTGAAAAAAGTATAAAATTTTTTTCTATGGAAGTTGAGTGTTCAAATTTTAGTGTTTAGCTCATAACATTATTGATATTCTTCGAACACAGCTTACAACGCGATATTTCACATTCTCCATCATCCGTTGTTATCGCCGGAAATTAGGGCGTCAGCTATAATTTTGTTTTCTGAAAGAAAAGACTACTGTGTCGTTTCTTGCCTCAACATTCTCAAGGCCTGGTATCTCGGATATAGTAACATGCAACTAACGATCGGGCGGGACCTAAAAGAGACTATTGTCCCGAAACCATAAGGTCAACCTAGCGGTCTCTTGAAATGGATCTCTATTGCCGTACAGTCAGTTGACAATGACTAGTAATTCTGGAACAAAAAGCATTATATCGTAAAACATACCACAATAGAATATAATTCGAAACAATTATTGTCAAATACAAAATTTTTTAAATCAATTTTCGGTTTTGGTATAATAGGTATATTCTGAAATAGTTTTAATTTAATGAAAATCATTGTATTTTGTAGTCTCTAATAATTAATCTAAATATAATATTCACATTTATCTGATCTCGTAAGTTCTTAAAAAATTAATCAACATTGAGGGTTTTTAATTAATAGCGCTAATTTATATCTACAGTCTTAATAATTATATCGTTCTTTGATTTATAAAAAAGCTTTTATTAATTTACTAGACTGCTCAATATAATAATATGTTCTTTACATAGCAATAATCTATATCAGTTATTTAATGTTAGTACATCTTACATTGATAGATACAGTTTAATTTTTTCGTTTTAATCCATAACAATATTTAAATTTATTATATGATACAAAGACTGCGTTCTTATATTCACTACCAGTGCTGAAAATTTATAGTGCACATATATAATATATATTATATGCAAATTTTCGGTATTGACAGTGAATAATCGGAACGCAGCATCTTAATCAATTCCGGATAATCCGTGGGACAATATTCGTATATGGAGATTGACATATATTTTTCAAACGATTATTTTGCGTCGATAATAACCACTTTAGATAATCAAGTCTTTCAATGAATTAATTTGTTTGCATAATTTTTTTTCTTTATTCGGTAAATTGTTCACACAGAATCGAGAATACGGAATCTAAATGTGTATAATTATGATTGTGCGTCATACAAGATGGTACGATAACGCTACGATGTTACTATAAAATTATATTTTTGCGTTTCACGATTATTCTACAACATACTAATGACGCATTGATTGATATTGAAATTAGAAATTACTGATTTAATGAAACGTTTACGCAAATATTTTCTTCAAATTGTTATGAATTTTCTATTCGTGTTATTTTTTTTAAGACTTATTATTGACACAAAAAGTGTATTGCGTTATGATTCGCGCAAAATAACACCTAGCAATATTACACGAAGAACAGGCAACAATAGAATAACAAAAATTTCTGCAAAAAGTGTCTTCCCTCAAGCTAGATGTGTAACGCAATGTCTTATGTTGACATGTAGTCATTGAAAGTAAACGAGTGAACTTGGCAGCGTGGAGAAGTGGTAGCACAGAACTGTGCCAGTCTGCTGCCCACATCGAGCAGACGGCTGGCCAAGATTCTTCAAAAATTCAGCCAACAGTACAACATGCACTTACGTTGACGTTTATCTTCTTTTTGGAGCACATTCAATTTGACTTAGCGTACATCGAAATAGCATGGATTCGATTTAAAAATATACGGCTAATACTCACGAATTTCTTATCACGCTGGAACAATGTATGTGTAACATTTAATACCAAGTGTAATTAATTTGTTTCCAGTATAGTTCTATCAATTTATTTTTAAGCTAGATTTTAATCATTAATAATTTAATTCGTTGTTTACTTGGAATGTCGCGAAGATAATTCCAATGTGTCATACGAGTTTCGAGGAAATCGACACGGTTTGGAGGTACTTTGAACTCGTGCAAATTTGCTCAGCAGGACGTACAAACAACTGTAACAACATTGTTACATAAAGCGTCTCGAATTCATGCATCATATATGCACTACTGACGTATCGCGCGCGAATCGTATTATGAGCACGTACGAGCATTCGGAGATGCGAGAAGAGTTATAGAGTAGACGAAAATATCGGGCATATATATTAGCTCTCAGCTATTCTAAATATAGTAGGTATTGGATAAAAACCCCCGTGAAGAAACCACGTCGCATTATGGACCGGCGATAACTTTGATACATAAAAACTTCTGATATTTCCAATGTCGGAGGGCAAAACGACGTCGACAGAAATTTTTGTCGATAGTCAGCTAAACAGTGTAATGCTATTAAAATAATCGACTCGATTTACAAAAACGTAGAATAATTCTTTTTAGCAAATAGGAATTTAGAGATACAGCAGTTAAGTTGACATTGTTAAATTTGCTGATTTTATCGTGAAGTTAAGACACTTCTATTTTGCGGCAGAGAGAAGCCGAGATAAAAGATTGATAGATACATAAATAACTTGGTGATTTATATATATATATTACAAGATAATGAGCTAGTAACGACATCGATCGTGACGCTTAATAACTTAGACATCTAATTATCGACAGTTATACTTAACGATATTAATAATTTTGATGAAGCGCTGCTATAAATCGAATTAAAAGATCTCCCATGAAGATTTCATGTTCGATCTTCGGCGATAAAAAATGCGAAAAGACCTCTTTATTCTTATTGATTTCATCTACAATCCGTGTGCTATCAATTTATCATACATTCTCGCGTCCGTTAGTCTGCGTAGACAAGAGCGAGTTGCGTATGCAGAGAATAGAACAAAAGAGACGAGCGATCATTTATCTTGGCTCGCGCACGAAATTAAGCCCTTTGAATATCTTAGCATGCGATAATAATAACAGAAGGCTTTTTATTTTTTAAATTGTTAAACATGAACGAAATCTGTCGCCGAACTCACATCATTATTGTCACGCTAAAGAAAGTTCGCGTGGAATTAAGGCTTTTCGTGAAACCGGATGCGCATTTTCGCTGACTGCCGACTAAACAAGATAGATTTAAACACTCAGAAAATATTCAAGTATCATCGTCCGTTTAATTTTTTGCGGTGAAATTAAACGGACTGTAATCTCATAATTATTTCACGAATTGACAGCTGAGAAAAAATATTAAAAATTTCATTCTATATCTCACACATTTTTCTGTTTTAAAATACA